GCCAGTGAAGAGGCGGAGGAAGCCGAACGCACTCGGAGTGGGGAGGGAGCGAGGGGGCCACGGGCGAGGATGGGGGGACTGGAGGCGGGGACGGGGCCTGCGGCGCTACCCCAGGGTGGGGCCGAGGTGTGAGGCGGGATGCGAAGGCCTACAGGCCTGAGGGGGCGGGCCTTGGGGAGAGGGCGGGGATGGATGGAAGGGGCGGGACCTTGTGGGTGTGGCTTAGGGATAACGGTGGGCGGATTAACAAGAAGGTGGGGGCGTTGGAGAGGATGGATGGTTGATCTCTGTAAGTTTGCAACCAGAGGAAGTTCTAGTATGCATGATTTACAGTATGAGCTAAGATCGTCAATGGCCTTCAACCTCCCCTCCTTACTGTGAGATGGAGGCGGGAGCTGGCACAGCTTTGAATGTTGGAAGGGAGAAAACTGGCAGTTTTGAGAGTGTTCTATACCAATAGAATGGGACAATATGAGGCAAAAATTGATATATGTCACCTGCTTTCATGCTAGTTATTTGTTAAACTCATACCAGCTGAGGGCTTACTGTGTGCCAAACACTCACAGAGTGTTGGGCCTGTTGAGACATGCCTAACAAGAAGCATTTATTAGCCTTGTTTATAGTGCGGCCAGCTTCTATGTCTGCACTTTCTAGGTACCATGCTGAGTTTATCATTGCCACTTACAGATGAAGAAAACCAAGGCACAGAGCAGTCGAGAAACATGCTTGATGTTACAAAGCCAGTGTTGGGACTGAGATCACTTTGTTTTAACTTGGTCATCCAAGTTAACTTAAATTTAAATTAAGCCATCAAAGAGAGACTTTCTCTTGTTTTGTTATTTCTCTAAGAAACTTGCTATGTTAAAATGCAAATTCTGATTTCCTTTCTTGGGGAAGAGGCCTGAGAGTCTGCATTTCTAGTAAGTGGTCAAGTGATGTTGATACTGCTAGTTACCCAGCCACATTTTGAGTAGTGATTCTAAAGTAAACAATCTGGATTGTGAAGACTGAGGGGCATGGTGAAATGGAAAGCATTCGATGGCATGGTGAGGCAGAGGATCAGATCCGGGTCCTCACACACCTCTGTCCTCCTGTGTTTGTCAGTTCACCTCTCTGGGCCTCAGGTTCCTCATCTGGAAGCTTATCCGTGAGCCATCAAGGCCCCATCAAGTTACCTGAAGTTTTCAGTTATCCGAAAAGCAGTATCAAATCACCCTAAAAGGCCCCAGTTTTAAAGGTATAAGTTGATGAGTTTTGGAAAACCAGACTTAGAATCTTCCAAAATACATAATTTCTGTGGGTTTTGATTCTAATAGTTGAGAACATAAAATGACAACTCTTTCCGATCAGTGAGCAAGAATGCTGACAGCCACCGGGAAGATCGGCCTCTGCTGGCTGGACTTGAACAGAAACCTCTGTGTAGTTGGTAGATGGAACTGGAAAGGGAGCACATGATTTAGTGATGCCCGTTCTCCATTTGGATTCACGTATTTTTCCGAAGCGCCGTTTTAGTTATCAAAACCATGAGACCAACTATTGAGAAAAAACAGACTCAGAATTAGTCTTCTGAATTGCTGTATCACAAAGTGTTAAGATTTTAAAAAATAATGGAGCACATTTAATCACATTGCCACTCAGAATATCATAATATTTGGGTGAGAGCAAAAAGTTTGTGTTTTTAATAAATAAGTTATTAAAACAAAAAGAACGTTGGGAACCTCTCCTATGCCCACCTGATGGCTACCCCTCTCGTCCCGTGAGGAAACTACTTTCCTAGTTTTTGTGTTCTTCATTCCCTTGCTTTTCTTTATAGTTTCACCACCCTGAAAGTATCCCTAAACAATATAGTCTTGTTTAGAAAAAGAAGCCCAAACCTGGCCCTGTCAAGAAATAGCAGTAAAGCCACTGATATAGGAAGGCTCCCTGGAGGAGGTGAGCTGAGTGGCATCTGGGACAGAGTCTGGATCCAGCTTCCTGGGGAAATCATTGCACTCAGTCTTGGGGAGACTGCTAATCACAGCGGGACAAGTGGGCAGGGCTGTAGTTTGAACATCAGGCAAAAACATGGCTGGGGCAGGAGCTGCTTTCTATTTTCCCTCCTCACCTCATTAAGACCTCCCTCAAGTTCTTAGAAAAAGGTTAACAGGGAGAAATGAGTATCTTCTGCTGACCCAGGGGAGTGGAACCTTATGAGCTCCTGGTTGTCGAGATAAACAGAATACAAGTAATCTGTCCCAAGCTCACCCAGGCAGTCTGCCCTCAGTGTGTCTGCACCGCATGGTGCCGATGGCATCTTGTGCCAGTCCAAGCCACCTGCCCTGCCTGCCGGAGCACAGTGGTCATTCTGGGGTTTCCATTCACTGCCCTCCTGTTTGCATTTTCTGTTTTCTGGGTCCTGTGGCTTCCCCTTTCTTGGTGAATTCTATTGGTTCTGTGGAGCACATCTGTCAGAAACTTTCAGGGCTTGAGTACACGGGAGGCGTAATTTTGAGTCCCTGCATGTTTATAAATGTCTGTATTCTGCCCCGCACACCTGATTGCTTATCTAGGTATAGAATTCTAGGTAGGGAAGAGGTATCCTTCAGGGCGCTGAACATGCCACTCCTTTCCTGCTCACTTTTAACGTTGCTGCAGAGATGTCTGAGGTTATTCTTATTCCTGATCCCTTGGATGGGACTGGTTTTTGCTTTCTGGAAGCTTGTAGAATCCTCTCTCTTTTCCAGTGTTCTGAAAGTTCACACAAAGACATGCCTGGATGTGAGTCTATTTTCATCTGTTTTGCCAGGTTTGCTGGGCCCTTCAGCCTAGCACCTCATGTCCTTCGGTTCTACGGTTACTTTGTTGACTTCCTCCTCTCTATTTTCTGTGTTCTCTTTTCTGAAACTTCTGTTATTTAGATGTTGGACCTCCTAGACTGTCCTCTTTCTTTCTCTCTTTTCTTAAAAGATGATTTTTGGGGAGCAATTTCAGGTTCACAGCAAAATGGAGTAGAAAGAAGAAAGTTCCCTTATTCCCCTGGTCCTCACACGTGCACAGCCTCCCCACTGTCATCTTGGGGCACCAGAGGTACATTTGTTACAACTGATGAAACTACACTGACACACTGTTATTCAAAGTCCGTAGTTTACCTTAGGGTTCGTGCTTGGTGTTGTGCATTCTATGGATCTGGACAAATGTATAATGATTTGTATCCACCATTGTAGTATCATACAGAGTAATTTCATTGCCCTAAAAATCCTCCATGCTCTGCCTATTCATCCTTCCCTCCCTTTTAACCCCTGGTGACCGCTGATCTTTTTACTATCTCCCTAGGTTTAGGTTTGTCTTTTCCAGAGTGTCATATAGTTGGAATCATACAGTATGTACACTTCTCAGATTGGCTTCTTTCACTTGCCATTATGCATTTACATTTCCTCCACGTCTTTTCATGGCTTGATAAGTGCTAAATTAAGTGCTAAATAAAATTCCATTGTCTAGATTGTCTGTTTATCCATCACCTACTGAAGGACATCTTGGTTGCTTCCAGGTTTTGGCAATCATGAATAAAACAACTGTAGACATTTGTATGCAGGTTTTTGTGTGGGCATAGTTTTCATTTAAAAACAGAGGACATTTGGCTAAATGTCCTCTCTTTTTAAAATATTTTCCTCTTTTTTTTTTTTTTAAAAACTCTCTTGCTTTAATTTTTGCTCTATTTTTCTAAAAAATTTCCATAGCTCTAGACCTGAATCTTTTTAGAGCTTTTAATTTATGTTCTTTTCAATTTTTAAGAACTTTAAAAAATTGATTTGTTTTCTGAATATTCCTTTTTACGGTATCCTGTTTGCATTTCGTGGGAGCAAAAACTTTCTCTTATCTCTCAGGGGATGTTGTTGTTGTTTTCCATCTTAACTTGCATCATCTTTGCTGAGGCTTTCTTACATGTCTTGTGAACCTCCAGGTGATACTCATGTACCTCTAGGTTTGAGAATCACTGCTACAGTGTCTCTTAATCTCTCCGAAGCTTATGATCCCAACTGAGATCCCACAGAGGAAAAGAACACACATTTCAGTGTTTTTCCCCCTGGAGAACCAGAGCTTTTCTCTCCCACTTAAAGGCTTAGCACTTTTCCTGAATGAAATGTAATATGACAGTAGCCTTGGGGGTGTTTTCACAACATATTCAGGTGATGCCCCATTCCCCAGTCTGTTTGTTTGTACTGCCTTACATTGCTACACCTTTGCCAGTGCTCCTGTCATTCCCGTTTAGGTTGGAGAAAAGCCTGGCTCTGGCCATCAAGAACCTGATGCTGACCTTGGCTTTCCTTACCTACTGGGCAAATGTAACTTGCAGCCAATGTTCCGGCCCAGAGCAGAAATTATAGTCCCCTTGGGGAAGCATGCAGCAGGCCGGAAAGGCCCTTGTCCAAGGCCAAACCATCTTGCCATTGTATTGCTGTTCCAAACAGGAAGGTGTGTGTTTGTGTAGAAGTACTGAGGATATGAAAATGGAACCCAGGATGTGGGGTATGAACACAGAGAGGGGGAAAAGCAACTCATATTTAGAAGGGGCCATATTTTCTAATAAAAGTGTATTTTTATTTCAACAAAATGTAAAATTATATATCTTAATATATATTTGACTAATCTATTATTTGGTCATTCAAAAGATATTTGTAGACTTTCTATCATGTGTCTGGGAATGAGGCCGGTATGGACATGTACGTAAGGGTGATTTCACAGAGAAAAGAACTAATAGTAGAAGCAGCAACAGTTTCCAAGTATTAGCACCTTACTATATCTGTCAAGTACTTCACACTTGCTTTCTCTTTTAAGTCTCATACGCCTTAAGAGGTAACTTTTATTGTAATAATAATTATTATTTTTAATAAATGAAAAAACAGTGATTTGGATAGTTAAGAAGTTTGTCCAATGTCACACAGCTTTAGTGTAATTCAGGTAAGACGTTTCAGAGCCAGAATTCGAACCCAGGTCTATGGATAACTCTGTTGCCCACAATCTTGACCTTTATACCATGTGGCCTACATGGTAGATATTTATTCACTCTTGAAGGAAGCTTCTACCAGGACCCTATGATTTATTCAGACCCAATAGCACCCAGATCTGGACACACTCACCATCCCATTAGAACCCCATGTCAGTTAGCTGTTGTCGGAGTAATGCTGTGTAACAAACCACTCCTAAACTCAGTGGCTTCAAATAACGATGATGTAATCTCAAAGATTTGCAGGTTGATGGTGGCTCTGCTTCCGGTCGTGGTAGCTGGGGCTCGGCTGGGTTAGGCGGGGTTGGGTTGGCTGGGTCTACTGTGAGCTGCATGTCTGTGTAGTCTTTGTTCCTTGCTTAGGTGCTTTCCAAGTGAGTTAATTCTGAGACTCATCTTGAAGGGGCAGCAGCTATCTGGAGGGAGCTTTTTTGTTAGCAACGGCAGAAATGCAAGAAGACACACCTAACTGCACAAATGCGCTTCATACCCCTGTTTGTGTCATGTCCGCTGCCATTCCATTGTCTAAAGCAAGTCATTTGATTGAGCCCAAGGCCAAGGGGCAGGACTGCAAGGTCATATAGCAAAAAGCATAGATATGCAGTGATGGCGGCGAAGAATAGATGCTCATAATTCAATCTATCGCACCTGCCTAGACCTAACAGCTGCCTGCACAGTGTGCTTGTAAATTAATGTATGTTTGTGTGCACGTAGAGTTTATGGAGTTACTACCATAAAAATGATAAGATAATTATGTGTACATTGTAAAAATATAGAGTTTATAGTCTGGTGGGAGAAATAGATAATAAAAAAGATGAAAATGACTATAAAAAGAGAGTTTAGAATTTATTTAATTGACTCTAGGCCTAAAGAATGTGGACACGTTATAAGTCTCTTGGGACAGGTTTGACATCTTTCTGTAGTAAAAAAAAAGGTGTTTCCCTGCTCCTGAAGTTTCTTTAGCTCGCAGAATTTGAAGTCACTGTCTTGTCCTTTTGCAAAGAGTATCCAGTGTGACAATGTTGAGATATCAATGATGTCAGCTTTATCGCTGATCCTTGAACATCTGTGTAATTTGAGAATTCCCTCTAAAACAAGATGAGACACCTATGCAAGCGAAAATATTAGTTATGTTAGGGTGTGTTCTTCCTTTATGTATTCTTAAATCTCAAGTTGGTAATGCAACTTTTCTAGGCCTCGGTGTCCAATGAAGACCTTCAAATCAATTGAATCATAGGAAATCAGTCTTAGGCACTACAGCACCATCTCTCTCCATCTCCAGTGGATTCCCTGGAGGTCCTGGCAACTTCCAGAATAATGAACCTTGGCGGCCTTGAGTTTTTCTCCTGACCTTGGTTGTCCCTGGTTTTGCTCTTTACTCTGCCACCTTGTGGATTTTTTTGGGAATTGCATCTTCTACTGTGAGTTCCGATGACTCATCTCATTGATCTGACTGGAGCTTTTCCTGGGAACAAGGGTAAGGGTTAGTAGAGAATTCTCTCCACCAGAGTGACGCTCACCACAAGGTGACCTTGCTCTTTCCTATAGTCCCCTCATTTGCGGCAGTATCCCTAGGAGACCAGCCATAGGGCTTTCGAATGGCCCTGCCAGTATCAGACCTGAAACGCCCTCTCCACCTGAGACCTTGAAATAGCATCCCAGGGGGTGGGACATAGGTCCTTGACTTTCTCCCGTAGTACCTCTCCAGGCCACCAGAGGTTCTCCACCACACGCCCCCCGCCCCTGCCCGCCCCTACACCTCTTTTTAAATTGCAAAAGTAATAGAAGCTCACCTAGGGCTTACAGTCCAGTGGAGAAGACAGATTTTAAAAAATAAAGAAATGAAGACAATATATTTACACATTATGGGGAGTAGACAGTAATGGTGGTGGGAGGGAACTTTCATTAGGTAGGCTGGTAAAGGCAGTCTTGCCCAAGCGAGAGAAATTTCAAATTAAAACCTGAAGGATGAGAAGGATCCAGCCATTAAAAGAGGGAAGAAGAGCATGTGCAAAGGTCCTGAGGTGAAAAAGGGTTTGTTAAGTTGAAAATAATGAAGAGTGCTGGATTGGAGTGAGCTGGACGGGAGTGGTCTGCGTGGAGTTGGAAAGGGCAGCAGGCACAGATAATACAGAGTCTTGTAGTGAACAGTTAGGATTCCGAGTCCAGTGAGAAGATGAAGAAGGATTCTTAACGAGAGAACTGATGAGGTCCAATTTGCATTTTATGTTTCTCTTTTAAGAAGACCATCATTGCTGTTGCATGGAGAATGGGTTGAAGGGAACAGGGAGGGAAGCTGGGACACCAGTTGGGAGCTTGCTGCAGGAAGCTGGGTTAGAGGGAACAGTAGCCTAGACTTTGGTGGTGGCAATAGAAATGGAAGGATCTAGACCCACACCAGTCAGTACGATAGTAATAAGTCATATGCGCATTTGGAATATATAAGTGTAAAGTACGCACCAGATTTTGAGGACGTGGTTCAAAAAAAAGGAATGTAAAACATCTCATTAACAATTTATCTTGATTACATGTTGAAATAATATTTTGGATATTTCATGTTAAATAAATATAATAGAACAAATTTAACCTATTCTTTACTTTTTTTAAAAAATGTGGCTACTAGAAAAATTTAAATTACATATGTGGCTTGCATCTATGGCCCACGTTATGTTTTTATTGGACAGCGCTAATATAGACAAAAGTTAACAAAAAATACTTTTATAGCAAAAGTACACTGGGCACATTAGAAATTTCTAGTTAGTTATAAATTTTTTTTTCTGGTCCATAGAAGATGTTTATTTCACATAACAAAACAATACAGTTAGTGTTTGATCCAACCACAAAGAGCAAAAGAAATGAACAAGTTGACAATGCACATAAAAAAAACACAAGACGTTTAACATGACAAATATACATTCCTAAAATAGTACTCCAAAAATCCTTAGTTATTAAAAAATATAAAAACAGAAAGATGTTAATAGCGACAGAGTGCATAATGCCGAACATCTGATTTAGAGCAAATTAGCGTGCTAGGCAAACTTGCTAACAATGCATGATTTTTTTTCTTGTTTACAATCTCTTCAGACTGTCTTTATGCCAACAGAGTGGGCAGAACATTCAGGTTTAAGATCAGTTACACGACATTAGCATAAACTCAGACAACTACAGATAAGGTATTGTATTCTTTTGAGCTGGCAAAATGACCACAGAAACATCAGATCATTTCTCCGAATTCAGAATTTTATCCCAAATAAATGCCATATATCTTCCAGACATATTTTTATTATACATTTAATAATTTCATTGTGCGATATTGATAGTTGATTTGAATTTAAAAGGACTTCAGCTTACTGAGATTTTATTGTCTTTGTCAAAATAACTGAAGTGTGGACTAAAGCTGCTTACTGTCTGACGGTATATTGCACAAGGTCCTTTTGGGGCACAATGGGAAGAACATTAGGCTTTAAAGACGAAAGAATTTAGCTCTAGTTTGGCATCCATAATGTGTGAACTTGGATGTATTTCACCTGTCTGAATCTCACTTCTTTATTTGTAAAAAGGAGATGGATAATGGAGACTAGTGCCAGCTATCATGTGGTTCATACTTTATCCCTCATCCTAATCACACGTCTCCTTTTTACAGGAGGGGATACCAAAGTTCATCAAGGGTAAGCGATTTACTGAAGGTTACATCTTACATCTAGAAGTTACATCTTGCTAGAAAGAGGTGAAGCCAGGACACGAACCCTGGTCTTTTTGGCTCCAAAGTCAGCTGAAAAAAAATTTTTTTCACTCTCATTATGTCCCCTGCTAATTTCCTGCACGCCTCTGAATTTATTGGGAGGGTCAAATTTGGCGAATGGGCTTTGGAAAAATGTCATAAAATATGCAAATGTAAGACATTATTATTTCTCATAGGTGCATACACTGAAGCTACAGATGAAAACTCATAAACTACCAGATGATGTATATATATCTGTTTCTGTGAATTGAATATCACATGTTGCTTTCTCAAATTCAAGCTCCAAAAGTCCTATTACAGAGAGATAACTTCCTGTCTCAGGATGAACATTTAGAGGAATTTGGAGGAAAATATTTTTGTGGTCATACTAAAAACTCAGAGTCAGATGCCCTTGGCCTCATACGGTTAAGTGCTGTTTGTCAAAGCATAAACAAGCCTTGGGCCAGACGTGGCTTCCTTCAAGTAGGCTGGCTCATTGGGAGGAAATTCATTCTGCACCAGGCAGAGAGAGGAACCAAGGCAGGATGAAGAAGTTGCTTGTGCTTGTGCTCGCTCTCAGCTTGCTGACCTTCTCAGGTGAGTGTCCACTCCAAAACACAGCCTGTTTCTATGCTGATGTGATAAACTGAAATGAGTCTATTTTATGTTTCTAAATATTTTTTCATTTCAAATAAGAGGTATATTACTTGTATGAGAATATATAAATGTATAGTATATAATAATTGAATGCTTTTTTTCCCTAAGTACAGGCTCCCAGAATTGCTATCATTAGGGATAAATTATTATTTTTTAATCTCTAAATGTATTTGAACACTAATTCTCAAAAATGCTGATAAACCTTCAACTATACCTTCTTTTAGAGTGCATATGAGATCACTCAAATTCGACAGATTTTTATTTAACGATATCTTTTAGAGTTTGTGTCTGATTATAGAAATTTAACATACTTTTATTATCATAATAGCTTCTTTGAGGAACTATATATGATGATCGAATTTAACATAATCTTATTGTCACGGGGTATTTTCCAATAATAACTTTAATTTGATTTAGTGTAGTGGAGATTAAAAAAAACCTCACCAAAGCCAACCTCAGGGACAAGGAACACATTGACAGGGAACTGAAGGAAATATATTTCAAAAAACATGAAATTAACACCTACCTATAAAGGAACGGGCCATTGCAATAGGTAAATGTGTTTAAGTTGTACAGCTCTGGGGTAACCGTGTTAGAAACAATTTAGAATTCCTTTCTATGCTCTGGAACGCCACGTCCTTTGGGACAGGGCCCCTGTGAAAAGGACTTTTGTGTTTTGATTGAAATTGAACTTGCTAATCATTTGCCTGGCACTGTGAACTCATGTGCCCTGAGGTCCTGTCTCGACTTTTCCAGGGGCCTCCCCGATTCTGATGGAAAAGCAGGCCAAGCAACTCCTGAGGTCCCGGCGCCAGGACCGGCCAAGCAAACCCGGGTTCCCGGACGAGCCCATGCGGGTGAGGGCTGCGCTCGGGCTACTTACAGGAAAACTGGGATCACCTGAATGTTCCTGCGTTATGAAGTCAAACTGGGTGCTCATCCCAGACCAGCGTGGGCTGCTGGGTGGTACCCCAGCATTTAAAATGCAAACAGCGGGGCGATGGTAGAGCCCCAGAACTCTGGGTAGGCTGCCGGGTGTCACCCCTGAATGAGTTGCTAGGGAGCCATGCTCTGTAGCTGGTGCCAACCCCACCTTCTCCTTCTTCCCTTGGGCGCTGAGCAGGCTGGACCAGAGTCCTTGGCCAATGATGCTCTTTCTGGGCAGGCAGAATCTCTGCTCCAGCTGCCTGTGGGGTTCTTCCCTCACCTCGTGCCTCTAATTTTGGTCTTTGGCCTTAGCTTTGCACTGTGGGTTTGTGGTGTCCGCCTGTCCAGTCTTTCTGAACCAGGGCACCCTCCCTTGCCCCCATTTTGTGATTTGTGGTGGGTGCTGGCCTCTGGCCTATTTGAGCCTGGCTTGTCTTCCCCTCTTGCGGTGGAAGTGCTGACATTCCTGTTATTCGTGCCCTGCCCAGGAGAGGAGGGTAAGTCGCAGTGACCCAGGCAAAGTTCGCATGTCTGGGAAGCAGTGGCTGGTCCCCACCCCGAGCTTATTTCAGCTGGGCTCCCTGCTTTTCATGCATCTTCTTGTCAGGCTCAGAAAGATCTGTAGCAGCACTTACCTTCACTCGCTCCAGACGCATGTGGAATTTGATTCGTTCATTTAAAACGTTCTTATAAAGATGCAGTATCGCACAGTGATGAAGAGGGCCGACTGTCTGGGTTTGCATCTCCCGCTTTTGTAACTGTGTAAACTTGGGGAAGTTTCCTTACTTTTCTGTACTTGAAGACCCTCATCTATAAAATGGGGGTAACAATAGATATCATTACTTACATTATTAGAATATTGTTATTAGAAATAATAATGTAAAACAACTACTTTATGAGGATGATATAAAGTAATTCATAGTAAGATACTTGAAACAGTACTCAGTAAACAATAGCTACTCCTTTGAGTGTTACATACCAGAGGGTGAGGGGCAGAAATTGCCTGGGCTTCTGCTCAGAGTCGCTGGCAGACACAGAGAAGTCAGCAAATGGCTATTGTATAAAGTGGTTTAGAAATGAATCAAGGACTATAGGCTGTTAAGGGGGGACGTGGCTTTGTCATCTTTGGTGGAAGAAATCAGAGGTGGCTCAGAATATCTAAGCACAGGGTGGAAGGGGACTGGGAGGTGGGCAGGGGTGAGATCGAGAAGGATAGGAGTAAGCTGGACTTTGCTTTGTGTTCTGCAGAGGGCAATCAAAGGATTTTTTCAGGTGGGAAAGTGCAGACCGAGGGTTTAGACCGATGGTTTGAGAGGGAATTAGAAGAGGCCCCAGACTGAAGTCTGGGGACACCAGCGCTCAAAGTGGACAGAGGAAGAGGAGCTTGATGGGGCTGAGAAGGAATTCGGGAAGAATAGGGGGAAACCAAGAGCATGTGGGGTCCTGAGCATGGGGGATGCGGGTTAGGAGGGCAGAGGGCGTGGGTGTGGGGAGGGTGCCTGGTGTGAGGGTCCCTGGGAGCTCTAGCTGGTAGAGGCAGGAAGGTGTGGTTCACCACAAATCAAGGGGCCTTAGACTCCTGACTCATTGGTCCCTGTGCTGTAGCGTGTGAGCCCAATGTGACAGTCCTACTTGGCAGCCCCTGACCTCCCCTCTCTTCTACTTTTGACTTCGACTCGAGTATCTGGGGCATATGACGGTCGGTAGCCAAAGAAGGTAGTCTCAGAGCCAGGTTGGAAGGCCCTGGCTGTCACAGCGGAGTTGACTTTCATTCTCTACTCATTAGGAGCTGCCAAAGGACTTTAAGCAGGAGGATGATGTGATTAGAGCTGGTTTACAGGTGCCATTTAGAGTCTCATGACCCAGCCTCTGAAACGCTGGCCTTCAGATACCGTTATACATGGGAAATGGGAAAATGACATTTTTTGGACCTGTTATTGCACCTCCTTGCCATGGTACCCAGGAGACAGACAAATGGACTGGGAGAAATAAGCAGAGGTAGTGAGTGATCTCTGGGGACTGCCTGCGCCCTTGGGAGCTGAGCCCAGAGACTCGGTCGCTCACCACTAAGTTGAAGTTACCGAGAGATGACTGGTTGGGTTATTTTATTTTGCTTCTCCCTCTGAGAGTCCGTGCAAAAGAAAACTCTTTCAGAGAGGGGAGAGGTCGCTGATGAAGGTGAACGAATGGCTCTCTGGGGAGGTATTAAGAATTCAAAAGGAAAACGAGTGTGAAGATCTGCAGACGTCTCTCCCTAAGAGTATTTATTAAGCAGTGTTTATCATTTTGACACTTGGTTTAAATACTGGCAGACGTTGGTTTCTGCAGAATTATAGGCTTTTTGGAAACAGGCTCCAGGCTGGACTGTTGACCGCATGCATTTTGCTGGTTCACTGCAACACGTGTCCTTTTCTGACCATGGTGGGAAGGACAGAACGCTACGGGAGAGACCACTGTGTGCCCTGCCTCTGGGGAGGGCTGACTTCCACCCAGAGAGTGTGAGCACCTTGCTGGTTGGCACCCTTGATGGAGGAAGGTAAGGCCCCAGCAGAGATGGGGAGAGAGACCGAGAGGGAAGTATGCTCTGGGGAAGAAAGCAGGAGGGGCTTTGAATGTACGAAAGCAGCTGGGGAGGAAGAGGACGAAAAGCTCAGTGGTGGCCGGATACGAAGGAGGCTGGGAGAGGGAAAGGCAGGCGGCAGCGCAGGGCTCGGCGGGCACACAGCGCGAGATTCCCTGTGGTCGGAAGTAGCTGGCATATTTATTTTATGGTAACGCCTGACATTGAGTTTGAAGTTGTTTTCTGCTCTGTGCTGTTATTACCCTCTGCAACCCCCAAACCTTAGGAAAAGTCTGCTACGCACAGCAACCTTGTGTTCATGGTTCTTTGGAGGTATGAGCGGGGTGGATGGCATGTGTCGTATGGGTGAAAGTGACTGACAAAAAAGGAAAGTAATCATTCAAATCTGGAAGCTGCAGTGGTAGAGAAACAGGCTATGAGACGAATTCAGGAGAAACATGGCCTCCAAATCTTCAGAGAGTTGAGGGAGGTGGGTTCTAGACGTCACACGGATGGCATGGGTACTCCCGGAAGGCTGATTCCATTGGGACATCCCATCTGGGGACATCTAGATTTCAGTGGAATGGGCTTTAGGTTATATTTTAGGACTGACCACTTACCACGATGTCCCAAAGACATCGTGAAGAGCTCCTGGGTAGAATGAAGCTTCAAGATCCTGATGGAGGAAAGAAAAAGTTGCCTGAGGAAAAATTGATGGACACGGCTGTGTGGACAGAAGGGCTGCATTGGTGTTCAGAGGAAAGGAGGTGGGAAAAAATAGCCTGAGTTTTCCCTGAACATTTCCTTAGTCATGACTGTGCTCAAGTTGATTTTCAGGGTTTGGGTCTAAGCGCTCGCTACTTAAAATGTGGTCCCAGCCTGGCCTCCGGGCTTTGTAGAGCTTCACATACCCTCGAGTCCACAATATTTTCTCCTCCCCGCACCCCCTGAAGGTGACAGTCACCTCCACAAGATCCCCGTGATCCGGACGCACATTAAGTTTAAGAAGTGCTGTCCTGGAGATCGGCAGAGGTGCCTCGCAGGCGGTTGCCGGCATCCTGGGAGCCAGGAACCAGTCCATTGTTGCTTTGTTTTGACGCAAGTGACCTCTCTTCCTTCCTGTGGCCACTCTGCTCCTTTGGAGTCCAGTCCATTAAGCCACTGACAGTGCCTTAAATGTCGGGGCGGCCCAGGGCTCTGCCCTCCCACCTCGTCTAGTCCCGAGAGTTTAAATGTCACCTCTGTGCCGATGACTTTACACTCCTGTCTCCAGCCTGATGGCTCCCCATGAGCTCCAGACTCCATGCGACTGTCTACTCTCCTGTTGGCACAAGACCATTTAATAGACGGCTTAGACTTAACAGCCGCTACTAGAATTCTGGAGTGTGCCCTCACACCAGCTCCCGCCCTTGCATCTCCCATCGAGGTAAGAGGTGCCACCTCCTTCTAGTTGGGTGGGCCCCGGATCCAGGATCTGACCCCTTTGCACCCTCCACTGCCACCACCAGAGTCCCTAGAGTGGACTGAGCAGTACTGTCTTACCCCATTTATTGCTTCCTCTCTGGATCTCTCTGCATCTGGTCTCAACAGAGTAGCAGGAGTCAGTTCTTAAAACCTAAACCGGATGCTGTCCCTTCCCTGCTCAAATAAAATCCATGGGCCTACGGTGGCCGACAAGGCCCTGAGGTCTGCTCCCTCTGCCCCCACCTTGGTCTCCACGTGCATCTCATCCCCACTCTGCCTTGAACGTGTCAGGCTTACCTTGTCCTTTCACTGATGAAGTTCAGGCTGTGTGGAAGGCATGGTCGTGTTTATTTTGCACCTCGCTTTTTTTTCCCCACTCAACAATATGTCTCATTTCAGCTCATTTTTAACTGAGGCATAGTATAAATGTATTACGCTATAATTTGCATGTTTGTGCCCCCCTACCCCCTTCCAATCCATATATTGAAATCCTAACCCCCCAGGTGATGATTTTAGGAGGTCGGGCCTTTGGAGGTCGTGAATGGGATTTGTGCTCTTATATAGTAGGCTCCAGAGAGATCCCTTGCCCCATCTGCCACCTGAGGACACAGCGAGAAGTCTGTGACCTGAAAGAGGGCCCTCACCCAACCATGCTGGCACCCTGACCTCGGACTTCCAGCCTCCAGAACCGTGAGAAGTTTCTGTTGTTTATGAGCCCCTCGGTCTGTGGTATTTTGTTATAGCAGCACCGACAGACTAAGATATATTACAGCTTCTTTATTCAGCCCTTCCTGGAACAGTGCCCATTTCAGTTATTTCCACTGGTGATGAAGATCCTTGTACACATGTGAGCTTTGCTGGGTCTCATGATAAGAAAAGGGATTGCTGAGCCAGAGAGCTCGTGCA